TCTCGTATGGAGTGGTGTAAAATTAAAATATATACTGTCGCAGAAAATAGTATTTATACACTGGTGACGCTTATTACAAATTGACAATACTATTTTCAGTGTAATATTAGAGTAAGAATAATTTGCTTGCAAGTATACTGGATTAAGTTCGATACATATTAAAGTGTAACCCGATGGAAACACATTGAACCTGTTGTTGCATTGTAAATAATATTGTCAATTAATGGTAAAAGCCATCAACAGCCAACAAAAGTAGTAAAAAATTGAGTGGGGACAGCACAAAAAGAACTTGGTTCGGATACGACCCGGATCTTATCCTTAGAGGGTTAATCCAATAGGATAGTTAGGAGAAGAAAGAAATTCCTACGTTTGCTCTTGTTTTTATGAATCACTTTACAAAATGTTCTTTCGCAAAAAATCTGCAATCTAATTTTCAGTGTATAGATACTTTTTTCTGTCACTGTGAGTGTTTAACCCTTTCGCCTACGATTTAAGTAAACCAAAGAAATTGATCTGAATCCAAGTCAAAATTGGATTACACATTTGATTTGACACAATGAAGTTATTACTTTATGTTCTGTAGGAATTCTTATGAACATCATCCAACATCGATGTAAATAAGCATACGTAAGCCATTTTATTCTACGTATAGAATTTCTGTACAAACTTTGATCGGATAAAAAACCTGCTAACCAAATATATTAATTTGTGGCGTCATAAATGTAGCTTTCCAGTGTGTTCAATTTCAACAATCTTAAAATTGTCAAACAATTTTGCAACTCGTTCGCAATACTGTCTGGACGCAAATGGACCTTATTTCGATTCCAAATATTTACTTCACGATAACTCCTAATCCTTCGAAATCGGCAATGTAAAAACAACATTTATTATGCAACAACCCAATGCATAAATAGTCACCACTCGACACCAGGAACAGGACATAAGAGAGAACAAAAGGGAGTTCCAAAGAATCACCTCTGTCAGAAAATGGAAAGTCACCACCCCCAGAAGTCATTCAGTCCTCTGAAACTCTCGATCCACGCCCTGGTCATCCGAATCCACGATCCCTGGTGGCGTTAACACGTCTCGATCACCTCGATGCACTCGCCGTAGCGCGCGCGCGCGCGTTTCAGGTGATATCCCATGGTCCCCCGGGTACGGGGTCGGCCATTGTATCTCCTCGCGCTCATTAAATATTAACGAGAGTCTCAATTTCTTCATTTCGTTGATGAGTCGCCGCGCGCCATCCGAGAACCCGCATATAGATTGAAAATTAACTTATATGAGCGCCGACAAAATATATATGCCGTACGGCCATACAACGCCGCAGCACTTATACGACTCCGGGGCCTACAATTTACACGAGAGAGGTCCCTATGTTGGTATAACCCCTAAGTAGGATAACCATCTTTTTCCTTTTCCTGCCGCCTCTCTTTCTCTCCCTCTCTCGACCTTCCCCTCCCTTTCATCTTCTTCTTCCTCCTTTTCTTCTTCTTCAGCATCTTTTCCTTCTTCTTCTTCTTCTTCTGGGCTGTTTCTATCTCTTCTTTGTACCGTCGTACTTCTTCTCTACCTCCTTCCCTCTTCTCTCTTCCCCCCTACACCACCGTCAAACAGCTTACGCCCGTGAACGTGAAATCCTTAAATACCTAATTTGATGCTAATTAGAGCTCGCACTTGCTCTTCGCGACCGGATCTTACCCGTGTGGCTCGCGTGCGCCGGAAACTCTGGGGATGAGGCTCGTAACACGCGGTTATTGATATTTCGAGGGAACACGACTGTCTTGGGACAAGGCAGACCCGCAGCGTGCTGAGAATTCTCAATGTAGCGAGAGTATATCGCGGAACGTGAATAAAATCCATGTTTCATTGGGATCCTGGTCACATTATGGTATCACTGTCCGAGGCCTGTCTTGACTCTGTAGGGTATTTCTGTCCCGTTTTTGGTCCCGATCGTCGTTGCCTCTTTCCCGATTGCTTTCTGTTGGGACTAATTTGTGATTCGATTAAGCAGAGTGCAGAATTATGATTGTTCTTTGTAATAATTGTTTCTTATTGTGTAGTGTTATATAGGGTTTCTAATATACCATTCTCGATGCAATTTATACTTTTTGTAATTACTTCTGAGCATATGACATGGAGAATGTTTTTTGTAATAATTGTTTCTTAAGAGTAGCGTCATATAATGTTCCCAATCTATCAGTTCGATGCAATTTATGCTTTCTGAAATTCATTCTGGAGAGATAACGTGGACAGTATTTATGTAAAAAGGGTTACTTTGAGTGTAAAACGATCGTGCGATCGATGAAAACTGAAGAAAATATAGTGGGACAGGTGACGATAAACGAGGAGTGCCGGTTCCAAAAGTCCAGATGTACGTAACTATTTATTATACGATAATTAGTCGCACTCGAATGCAGCACATTAATTCGTCTATACAGTTTTACATAATTGATTCACGCATTTTATGACGCCGACGTACATGAAATCATCGCTATGCTACGGATGCCTAACATGCGACCGCTGCGCCGTTCTGTTCGATTATGGAGACTATTCCCGACACTCTGGGTTCTGTGTCGCAAAATGTGGTAAAAAGGGGGCTGGAAACGAAAAGATAGAGCGATCGTAGTCGTGTTTAATCGATGAGATCCTGCTAACGGGAAATAATTGCACGTAAAATTACTGGATCTGAAATCTTTCATTTGGCCATCCTTATCTGTAACTGACAGATATAACGTGTCACGCGAATCAGATAGAAAAAAATTATAGGTTTACGATCGATAATGAATTTCATATTATAATTACTGTTGTTACTTTTCTGTCAAGAATTTCAAATGCATGCGTTTAAATGGGACAAATGGGGGCATTTTTGGTGTCCATCACTTTGCTACACATCGATTTGCACTTAAGATAACTTAGTATCCCGAAGCTTTCTTCGCAATGATATCTTACGTCTCGCTTAGATCTGGCTAAAAATGCTGCGAGTTCGTATTCTCCGCTAATCTTCATTCTGATTAATATACATATCGTGTCGTCAGTGGTCGAATGAGTGTATTTCGTACCGATCGAGTCCAAAGATCGCGGATCCTTTTCGATAAACATAAAATTCCACTAAACTACACATAAACTATCAACGTTTGTAACAACAAAAATAAAAGAAACAGAACTTTATATGAATATTATATACTGTACATTACAGTCCACTATTTAATGAAATTAAAAAGAAATGGGTTGAACAGAATAACTGATAAATATTTATATAAAGAAAAATAATTAAATTATTATAGATACATGTAGAACCTCGAAATAATTATTCAAGGAGCCTATAATTCCGTATTAGAACCAATTTTTAATATTTCTACAGCAATAATGTGACAGAAAAGTGTCAATTTCAAGTAGTTTTCTTTCTATAATAAATAATTTAAAATCATACAGTCGATTGATCCACGAAAGATGATCCCTTTGGATTCGCGCGGCACCGTAGAAAAAAGCTCTCGTATCTTAGCTACGTTTTTGGCACGAGGAGAGGAACGCCGTTTTAACGCACACGTCGCTTGTTCATCCGCGATTCTAGCCGTGAATCATCGATATATCAAAAAGTCTCTATTATTATTCCGGTTACGGCTAAAAAGGAAGAGAAGCAGCGCCGCGAATTCGGGGCCGGGTGTCGTGTGGAAAATCGAGGTATCGAAGCGAGACCACCATCGATCTCGTGACCAAGAATAAAAAAGACGAATAGAAATCCATCTTGAGTAAAAAGACGTACGTAATTGCACGCTGAATATCATTTTCACGATTGAAGACGCAGTCCATCCTCATCTACATGGGTTTCGCTAACAGTTAGACTGTGGATTTTTGCATTTATTAGAAATGTGATTATGTAAAACAGAATAGAGTAAAAGTTTTTGTAAAGGTTAGTAAAAATTTCATTTTATTTTGGACATGACAGAACCTTCGATGAAGCAAATCTCTGGTCTAATTTCAGCTCGGTAACTTAACCTATAAAAATCTAACTTCGTACAAAGATCCACAGTCTACTAATAGTATACCTCGTTCTTCGCACGCATGGCCAGCTCGCGCGTTCGCGGGACAAACTATCGCCTAGTACCTTTGGTAATTCGGATGTGCATGGAACTATGATTATTATCACTGATTACTTAAACATAATCCATCTTTCGAATCCCAACGGATCTGTCGCTGACCCCGACGTCAGCACCCGATCTGCTCTCGCGAACCCTGACCACTTCCTGGTGAATCTTTCAACCACAGGACGTAAAACATCATCTCGCATCGTATTCCACTGTTTCCCTATTCGTCCCGAGACTCATTGGACTGATTGAACGACTGCACGCGAGGCTGTTTGTTATTCGTAATAATTCACGTACATCGATGAATAGTCATTTGTTCCTGTTACCGATGATCGACGTCTGGCACCGGGAAACCGTAGTTGAAACGTCACCCGTTCGGAACGAGTTTTACGGCCAGTCCGTAACGCGACCGCGCGGTAGATGATCCGACTTTGCAGGAAGAAACCGACTCGGTGTATCAATCAATGATACCTACGGACGCATCGACGCGAGCTTCAGCTACGCGAGGAACGGTCATCCTTCAAACTCGTGTCCGTTCGCCAAGTTTCCTTGGACTTCTGTCATTACTCACCAGGAAGATCGTGTGTCGGCGGTTCTGGCAAACACCACCGTGAAAGTCCACCTGTTCAGGAGGGAATCCCCGTGAAATAGAATTAAAGGAGCACGCACAGGTGCCCTTTCGAGGGGCCTACGCGAGCGCCCCAGAATCCAGTCTCTTTTTATCGACTGTGACGATATACATTGTATAGAAATGAAAGAAAAGGAATATAAGTCCTGGACCAGTGTGTTCCCTCGCCCCTCCCCCCCCCCTGAAAGACAGTCGAATGTCGTTTCGTGAGAAGGACCCCCGATCCTTCATCCAAGATGGCTGGAAAGGCTGCTGTAGCTGTCTTCCTCCATCTCAAGCCGTCGTCAGTAAAGATCGGAGAACGAGACCTGGGAGGAAACGCCGGAATGTAGGTGATGAAGAGCGTGGAGCTCCTCCATCGAGGTCGACGGCATGCTGTTGCTGTCCCCGAGGATGCTTGCCGACGGTCCCACGTTCGGCGAACCGCCTGTGCTAGATGGCACCGGGGTTCCGGGGCAACCCACGTTGCTCACCGATGTGTTGCCCTCCTGCCTCATCATGTTCCGTCGCCATTTCGCACGGGCGTTTTGAAACCAGACCTGGAGCAACGAGAACTGAAGTCGTCAGAAAGGGAATCCGACTCGGTTTCGACAACACTATTGGTGAATATGAAATAGGGGTTTGATTGTAGGTGGGTGAACTTTTTTTCTAGGAACAGTAATCTCTTCTTTTGTGGAGAAAAATTATTTCTCAACACGATTTCAGACATGGCATACTTGGTTCGTTTTTATTTTAACCACGATACATAGGAACTGAACATTTTGGGGTGGTTTTATAATTGTGACATGCAGTGGAGATATGTATATAGATTATTTATGATATGGAAATGCATATTTCTGAATAATGTTTATGTAATGTTTATTAGAAATTATTTACCGTAAAATATGCAAACTGAATACTAAAGGTATTCGATGTGACTGTTTCAATTAGACTGTTAAAGTTTAACTTAGCTACAATGTTATGCGATCATTGCCACAAGTTTTCCGTCGCGTCATAAGAACCCGTGTTATATGGGGGTCTAATGTACATATATGTATGTAATGGACATAGTAATAGAAGGAACACGATAAAGGCATACCAATGTCAAATTCAAAATTAAGAGCCTAAACAAAGATAAAGGAATTAATATTAATCGCAGAAATCTAAGAAACACGTAATACAAAAATATATCAAGGTACGACTGTAATACGGTTATGGATACCAGAATCAGGTCCTCCATACCCTCCGTGAAATTTATATGTAACAATCTAAAATCGAAACATTCTTACTTTCATGTCACGAATGAAACAACAATTTCGATTTTAATAAGCATGACGGTGATTTAATTCACGATTCCAAAGTGGAATGGAAATCGAAAAATGAAATTTATGCCTCACCTGAAGCACCCTCTTCGAGAGCCCCGTCTTTTGTGCCAGTTGCTTGAGGTCCTTCGCGTCCGGGTTCTGATTTATAGCAAAATAATTCTTCATCGTTCGCAACTGATGGTGCTTGAAGCTCGTTCTCATGCGCTTCGTTCGTTGGCTCTGGTGGACGGGGCCAGGTGACCCGACAGACGCGTCGTACGCCGCCAGTGACTCCATGGACGAGGACAGTTCGGTGGGATGGAGCAGCTCTGCAACAAAATGTCCCCCTTTCATTCGATAACCCGCCGTCCTCCTCGCGTTTCAGACGCATTTATAACGAGAGCGCATACCTAATTGACTTAATCGGATCATTTTTTGCGTTACAATCGCTGGAAAAACGAAATAACGAGTTAGGATCCCTTCAGGAAAGACTTCCGAAGAATTCGGCGGTGCATTTTTCCCATGTTACATGCTAAAAAATTTCATTGGAAAAGATAACTTTTGATAAGTAACTGGACAATACTTTTGGAAACGTGTAACAGAACTTCAGATCTACAAGCAGAGAATCTTTTCGTCAAGTACGATATCGAATGAAATGGAAAGTAATGGAGCTGAATGGATTTATACAAACAGTATAAAATTCTTATTGTAAATTTACAACAGTATAAATTCTTGTTGTACAATCTTTTAGATTGTCATCTTGTATATATGATTTTGTTCTTCAAGAAATCAATTTTAAAAATGTTATTTCTGTGTCTGTGCAATACTGACTGTTTCTACTTACAACGATCACTGAGGTTAGCACACAAGGAGAACAAGATTAACAAAGAGCATTTAAAACTACTTCATTTTCCAAATACAAAGAATTAAATTTTCTCAACATTCAGTCTAATAAATTATCCCACCAATCGGGATAAAAATCATCTTCAATCTTTCTCTACAGAAAGAAAAAGAGGTTTATCCGTCTTCCTTGCGACGTTTCCGCCCGATTGTTACCAAACAGAAGAACAAATCGGCCGATACGAGGGTCGGGGACAGTCGCCTAGTATCGATTGATGGATCACAAGCATTCAGAAACGATCGGCCGAGGAATCCTCTCATTTACCATCGAGAGCCTTCTGTGTATCGTTCGATCGACGCCCCGTCTTTTTTTTTCTTCTTCTGTCTGCTGTCTCTCGTCTTTTTACAGACACGGGCCGGGCTCCTTTCGCGCGTCCTGCCCGCCGATCAGATTAAGAAATCTTTGTAATAGGTACGCGAAAGCCCGCGCGCCGTATGGACTCCATACACGCGCGCGCGCGAGCTTAACCTCCTTCGACAAACTCTTGGACCTCGTGGTCCTACCGAAGATGCTGCCAGAAGATTAAACTTCTGCGGTGAACCGCGTTCCCAGCTCCTTCTTAGCTCAACCATCGATCGATAATTAATTAGACTCGATTGTTGACATGTAACTAATATTTCCTTTAATTTGTATAACTGTAATATTTTACGATCGTTATTAAATGACGCATGATTTACAATTTTAGTATCAATTTTTCTGGGAATTATCGAAAAGATTGCAATATTTGAAAGAGACGCAAGGTTTGGTCGCCATTTTGGTTTTTCTGTCCCTTGATCGTTATTAAATCTTACGCGATCATTGGTGAATATTTATGATTTGTATTTTATTTAAATTTTTCTTTGAAATGATCTACAGGATTGTAATACTTGAAGACATTCGAGGTTTGGTTGCCATTTTAGTTTTTCTATCTCATGATGATATATGATTTACAATTTTATTTCAATTTTTCTTCGAAATTATCTGTAAGATAGTAATACATTTTTCTTTCTTTCCTCCACCTTTATTTATTGTACTGAAAGATTCAGGATTTTCTCAAACAGTTCATACATGCATTTAAAGGGTTGAGTTGAGATTTATTTATTGAGTTTATACGTTTTACGTTTATATGCATGTTGTTTATGCATATATCGGTACTTGCACATTTATTTGCGGAAACTGGAAATATAAATTTGTTCACTGCATTAAAATTTCTGCCGGCTACCAAATAAAATGTCGATTCGTATAAAAATTTACTAAGCTTCTTAATATACTGAATTATCAGACAATCGGGCATGCTATAAATGCATAAAATCCGCTATTTATTACTGTGACGTAATAAAGAAGTAGCCGGCGGTAGCCGTAACTTTCCGGTGATTAAATTGCGAACTCTGCACAAATACATAAAACAGAACGACGAGAAACTTTTTAACAGTGAGTAATAAAATTTTCATGTTTTCCAATTCAGAGTTTCCTAAAATATCACGCAGTCCCTTTATTTCCCGTTACATATTTCCTACCAGAGAAAAGTACCATTGCTGGCAGATCAATACAAATAATATCAACATAGAAATAAATCATTCTATATCCTACACGTGATTTAGCCCTTATAGTACCTCATAAGTTATAAAAACTGTCATTACATGTGTATAAATTATATTAAAAATAGAAAGTCAATGTATCGGCTCTAAGGTACTAGAAAGATTAACAGAAAACCAAAAGTTTCCAAAATTATACGATGTTACCAACGAAACCATTATCATCTCGATCCTTTCGATAACCGTTCCCAAAACATCATCCTCCAAGATCCTCCAATCGGGATCGATCGAAGCCCGATTCCTCCACGTCAGATCGATCGATCGATCATTCCTCCCCGGTCAACAAAACGAGACGGAAACTCGCCTGTGGCTAGTACCGAGCACAAACGAATTTCCGCGCACGTAACCGCGCAACAGAATCAACAGCGGCCCCCCCGGACTCGAATAAAAGGACGCAACGGGGACGACATCGAGTGCAACCGTTTCAGCCGGTGTGTTGCGAGTTGCAGTTGTTGCGCGCCGCCGGAGCGAAGGAACGTATCCAATAAATAAGACGACGAGGGTAACCATTGAATTCAATCGGCAGAGAAAGAACGGGTTCCGGCGACGTTCGTGGACAGCCGCGCTCTGGACCCGCTGGACTGTGGAAGGCAGGGAGACAGTGGGGAGAAGAGAAACAGAGAGAAAGAGAGGGACAGTCACCCAGAAGTAAATCCCCGAGCACGTATCCGCCATTACTGTTTATTGTCCCGAACTTCCATTCCCTACGGACGACGACGACGACGGGCTCTCTGTTCTGGCTCTCGCGATCCAGAAAAGAGAAGAACCGCTTTCGCGGACGGCCACACCGGCGGCGGAATTCGTTTCGTACCCCGCGGGGTGAACGACACACGGATTTTTGTTTCGAGGGACCTTCTCGCTGGAAAACCTCGGTCGGATTCTTTTGGGGAATCGAAGAAAGATTAGGCGTGGTCTGGTCGACTTACGAAGCTTGTATATTCTGATGTAGCGTTGTATATCGATCATCGACGTTGGGGATAGAAAACGATGACCGGATAGGAGGATTTCTTGCGGAAGGTCCTCATGTATAAACTTGCTCTTGGGTACCTAATTGGTATTTTACCTGTCGAGAAATTAGCATCAGGGAGATCGAGGTCTGTAGGAGCGAGTTCGGTACTGTTCGTAGGGAGGAATGTGGTCCTATGGAGGATTCGGTTATTTAGGTTTGAATAGAGCATCAGAAGTGTGCTTGCTAGATTTCGTTTACGGATGAGGTGGTAACTTGGTCCTAGGTTGTGCGCTAAGTAGGTGTAGGTACATGGTATGGTATGAGTAGTACTACTTGCATGAACTAATTAGTTGGTAAAATAGGAAGATACGAAGTTGACATGAACTGGGATGTTTACGTTGAGGATAGCAAGTGTGAACGTTTTTGGGTCATCGAGGGATGCAGAATTAAGGAGACTTTTAAGGAGAATCGAGTCGAGGTGTGCTTTAATCGAAATAATAGGATATTTAAAATGTTCAGAAGTTACATATAATCATCTAGCCTACAATGATTCCATAAGTTGGGATAATTTTTACCCTGTCTCAAGTCAGAAAATGATCATTTCCGATTTTGCAACTCTGCAAACTGTCAAATTAACCCGTTCACTGAATCTTTCTAGTATCTTGTACAGAAATTTCTTTTCATACAATCAGGAACCAATTTTAAGACTATTTAAAATATTTTAACAACAAATTTTTTACAATCTATTGGATGTCGTTTAAAGAATATGATTACAATAATGTTTGGATATTATTTAAAAAAGTTTCGTATTGCCGATCGTAAAGAAATGTTCCAAAAATCACTAAAGTGATAAAGTAGGCGTCCGCTGTAGTAAACAAATGCATTTAGCGGGTTAAGTTGAATTTTACATGAAAAAGTATTTCACGTAAGATTACTTGCAAAACAGTGTTAAATCGAAAATGATCGTTTTCAACTTCAGGACAAAATTACCGCTGACAGAGTCAAAGTTACCTCAACCCTATAATCCCCAAAAAGTAGATCTTCAAATTCGAATCACCAAAATATCTTTTTCGCCTCGATAGCCTCATTTCCCATAGAAATCAACAGACCCAACGATCATCGATCGCGGCCCCAGTCGAATTCCCCAAAGGATCGCTTTCCCTAGAACCAGCTCTATCAATAAACACGACTCGGGGCGCGTCCTGCAAAAGGTAGACGCAAGTTTTTTTCACGAAACTGGCCTGGTTCCCAAGCGAACGACGGCGACGAGGGGACAAGGACGGGGGCGGAATGGCGGCGGTGGGATTTCGTGGTTCAAGAATGAGATTACAATTTGTCAGGTCCTGGGCTAGAGACCGAAATCACACGCCCGGTGGATGGCTCCGGTAGACCCGGTCTCGCGGAACGAACGAACGGCCACGAGGGACGTTCCGGCAAGAAACACACACGCAGGCGGCATTATAGCGTTCGGCCGGCCATTCTGCTTGCTGCGGCCACGTATTGGCCACGGCAGCATTCTTTTCCGGCGAGATCGGCCAATCGATGCATCTCGCCACCGATACCCATCTGTCACTGTCCGCGCAAGGGGCCTAGCCTTTTCTCCTCCGTTCGTCGTGCGGCGCACCACGTTCGTTCTGCTGTAAAGACCGAAGGGGAGACGGGGACGCGACGGTTTATACCGGTGAAATTGCCCGGATCGCACGACCACTGGGCAGCGCGCGGACTCTTCCGGGAGTGAAAAAAAATTCGGAATTTCCCCCCCTATTCGTCTTGCGTTTTCGTTCGCAAACGATTTCGAGGAGGAAGTTCGCGGAAGGGTGAAAGCGGTTTGTTACGAAATGGGCTGCTCTGCTTAGCGGTTCTCAAAAAGGATATTGCTGGGAATCGAGGCTTATTTAATACTGGTTTTGTTTAATCTTGGGGTATTTTTCTTGTATGCAACATCGAGTTGTATATGTTCTTTAGCGCACAGCGTTTTACGCGGTAGTTTGTATTGGTTTTGTACAGAGTGTTCCAGGAAAAGGAAACTCATTTATTCAGTACCACGGTAAGGCAGCTCCGATAATATTAGATGTAGCTATAAATAATTATTTTTGATCAGATTCAAGACTTATTTTGGAGGAAATCAAAACGCTATATTGTTTCAGTGACGTTCGTCCTCAATCTTCAATTGTTTATTTCAAAAAAATAGAAGATTACTTATTGGTACACTTAATATTTTATTAAATATTAACTCTAATGATTCATCACTTTCATACTGTATATAGGGTGTCCCATTTAAATCGATCCACTCGAATTCCTTCCAAACTGTTGATCGTACTAAAAACCACTACATCCAAAAAGTGAATAATTTCAAGAGGTCTTCTACGTTTCCACTTATGAAAAAGAAACCACTCACATCACATTATGAACCTTGAAGCCATTCAATTTTTACCTGAAGTATTTTCCAGTATCATCAGCAATTTCCAAGATATTCTAGTGGTTCAATTTAAATGTAACACCCTGTATACTTGAACATCTCCATACCCTAATCCTCAATACTACAATATATCAAAATCGTATTTCCTATGAAATTCATAAAACACTATTACCAGGTGCCTTCAAACAGTTCACATCTCCACAAATTCACAACTGCATCAAATCACTGCAAGATAAGAAAAAATCCTTCAATTTTCAATTTTCCTCCAAAACACCCGAAAACCATTTGAACTTCAGCCACAATGCGTCGTTAACGTACCCAAGGGTCACGTTAATCTAACGAGACGTTAACTGGCCCGTTGAAGGGCCAGCGTTGCGGAACACGATCCCCAAAATCGACGCGTGTTCACTTTCGCGCCTCGTTCACCCGACCGATAAATTAATTTAACGCCCGTGTTTAAAGCACCCTCTCTCGTTTGCCGAAGCGGTGTGTCTCATTTTATTCGACGCCGCGTGTATCAAGGATCTCATTTGTCCCGCGGGTGGTTCACGACAGTTTTCGAGAGGTTCAAGAGTCGCGTATTTTACCCCCACTCCCTTCCACAAACCGCGGAGTTATTTTATAATCGACCAGCGATCAAACGCAGAATCACTTTTGGACTACCAGCGGTCGGGGTGGGAACCTGCCGACCGGTGTTTAGCGTTTTATTGTCCTTATATATAATTGGGGAAACTTTTTGCCCGGCTCGAGAGACAGAGAGATCCCTCGAAACTATCCCGTCTGAACGTCCGGCTGGGCGCGTTCGATGAATCCTTGGAATTGCGATAAGTCCCGTCGGTTCTTCCGCCGTTGAAAATCCTCCGGCGCAGCAGTTTATGGCTGTTGCACGTTGAAAAATTACATCCCATCAGGGTCGGACTGGTTCCCTCCGGGGAGAAAAACCGGGGACACCCGTTTTTGCGGGAATATTTTCCGTGGGGATTTAGATGCCCAGAAATTGTTAAGGGGATCATTTTGGCTGAGGAATGTGTTCGGGGCGGTTTGAAGAATCGAGTTAGAGGGGAGAGGAAAATCGTTCTGACGGGTACAAAAACATGTGGCACTAAATTGAACATATAGGATGGTGTTATTTTATAGAAAGTTTAGTTAGATAGTTCCATCAAATTTTAGAATTTATTCCTGTTTTATTTACCTCGTGTGTCTGTCTTGCAGTGGTTAATTCTGCTTGCCATAATGTGTAAACGGTGATAATAATATGGATCTACTCATTTTTCAGAATGTTTTCATCTGAATTGATAGGAGATATAGAAAATTGATGAAGAAATACATAATATCGATACATCTAGAGTAGTGTTTTAAAGCATAAGCCCCACCGAGAAACAATTTGAATATTTTGAGAGACAATTAGCAAATCATTGACATTCCTCACCTCATCGACAACAATTTTACCTATTTGCCTTTTTTATTTAATTCAGCTATTAATGTTAAAGTTTTTCAGAACTGGGTTTACTATTTTACTAGGGGCCATCGAGATCTTTGAGGTGTTAAGCTGGGGCATGATCTAAAAAAGGTTGGGAAACACTGATCTACTGTGTTCCGTGTAAGTAGAAGCAGTGGGCAATGCACAGACACGTATCGTAAATCGTAACGCACGGCCTCGACTTCTTCGATCACATTTCGTTCAAAAGTAAAATTTCAATGTTTTCAAAAATGTGTTACACTTTAGTTCTTCAAACTTTAGCCTACATTTTTTATCTGCTTCCGTACTAGAAAACCCATAGCTACAGTGACTCACTTCGTTCACGGAAGGCTGTCATTTCTTTCACCGCATTAAGTATAAAACTATGAATCTTACTTCAAAATTAACAAATATTCATCATGAAAGCATGGTAAAAGTAAAAATCACGCGGATACATAAATAGAAACTGTATAAAAATTTGTACACTTAATTGGAATTTGGAAAGTATATGAACAAATACTTGAGTCACTGTATGTCTAGTCTTTAATGATTTCAAGTTAATCTACTGCATTACATTAAATGTATGCCCGTTCCATCCAGCACTTAATAAAGAGATAATAATAATATAAATGACTATAGACATCTACAAGTATAAAGTGTCCAAAAAAGAAGTGTACAAAATTCTACATCCAGTGTGAAGAATTCAAGGACATTCTCGATCCCCCGCTTGAACTGTTCATTAAGCCCTGAAGCTTCTAACACCCCAGCTCAAAGGAGGACTTCCCCAGCCAACGGACAAGTAACATCCAAACGGTCTCACCAACAGATTCCCCCCCAAACAAAAAAAACTCCAACAACTCCGATGAGGCCACCGTTGAACTCTTCAAAAAAAAACATAATTCGTTACAATACAAAGAAACCTCCAACACCAGAAAAGCAAAAATCTGAACCACAATTCCAGAAACAAAATTCAAACGATCGCGAGGGAATCGCGTCCCCGTTCGAACGTCCGGGTCGATCGATTAATCGCGACGAAAAAAAAGCTAGAGAAAAACGGTGGGGTCACAGGGGAGGGGCAAAGAAAACGCGGCCTGGACCCTTTTGTTCCGCTCGTTGTACAGTCGAAACAATAAAGAATTCACAAGAATCCAGTCTCGGGTTCCCGTTCGTGGACGCAAATACGTGTAATTGGCGGTGGTGAAACAACGCTGGAACCGTAAGAGAGTGACAGAGGGGATGGAAGGGGTTGCCTTGGAGGGATAATTGGGCCGGATTGTAAACGGGGGTGTGCTTTCAAACATCGGTATTAAAACCATGGGAACACGTGGTGCACGGTTCGCGGATCTCTGTTCTTTCTTTCAGCTCTATTCCCCTCTCTCTTTCACTCCTGTCTATACTCGAATCTCTCCATCACTCCCTGTCGAATCAGCTCAGTTCCCCGTCTCACTTCAACTTTCGCCAGACCTTCTCGGCAACCCTCGAATCGAACAGGTTAGTCGGGGGAGTTGCATTATTTGCCGAGCAATGAGAATAATGGCTGGTTCCTTCGGTGTGCAAACATTTGCCGGGGTAGCTTTGCGAGGATCGAGCGCGCGACCCACGGAATCGCTCCGCGGATTGTTCGAGGCTCGCCTCGTTAGGCTCTGTGTTTTCTCTCTCTCTTTCCTTCCCTCCCATCGACACACTGGCGCGGGATTCTTCGGCGAAACTTCTCGCCACTGCCAGTAAGTCCACGTGTATGCGTGTACGTGTAATTGATCCTCGAACACGCGGAAACGGCCCAGGCCTCTCTCGGCCCCGCTTTGTCCCGTAGCGGCCGCGGACGTGTTCTCGCGGCCCTCCTCCCCGGTTTGAAACGGTTTTCCTTTTCGAGAGCTGAATAAATAACTCGTTCGAACGTCTGTCGCATTGGCAAATGCTCGGGCCCCCCTTTAAATTGGCCTCGATTTAAATTGGCCCTGGCCGAAAACGCCCGGAGAAGCCCGTGGTTCAACGCTCGACGACTTTCCGCGGGGAAACGAGGGAAATGGAACGTGTAATTAAGGAGGATGGATCCTTGGGGGTTGCAGGAGTTTCGGCGAGGCATGAAATATTAAAATTTGTAATGGGGGATGGAGAATGATCTTTGCGGTTGGATTCTGTTCGACATTTTTTTTTAGAGATTGTGTAGACGTTAATTTTGCAGGCATTTTGTCGAATGTTTTTAGGCTATGCGCATGATTGATGGTCCAGTGCAAGATCCAAGTCCAGCAGTGCTTGGGTCCGTTCAAACCCCTGATACTTCCTACTTTTTAAACATTATTTCCAAACGCAATCCTTCAAAATGACCTTCTTTCTTATATGATTTAATATGTACAACTCCTAGCTTAAATACAATTTATAAGTTGATCAACTAGATGGAACTTTTAAAAACTTGGGTCCACATGGATCCAGTCACAGCCATGCAAGGGTTAATCCCCCAATAAAATGTTTATTCTATAAATTCATAAAATCTGCGAAGCATTGAAAAATTAATTGATGGTTAATCGCCCTACCGGATAGACCGAGGTGAAACACAAACACGGTATTTCATGTTCAGCATTCCGAGATCCGACTGACATATGATAAGAAGAGGAATGGGGACAAGAAGACGCAATTAAGAATGGGGGGGGGGAGGAGGAATTACTCACCGAGCGCCCCAGCAGCCAGCCTCATCGTGACGGGTAGTTCGGAGCCGGTTACTTCCGACAGCTTCCGTTTCCTTGGTCTGCCCTTCTGCACGGTGCCGGACGACGTGATTGGGCTCTGCTCCGCGGCGCTGTAATAAGCCGGAAGCGGCGACACCCCCGGCGAACCGATGTCCTCGATGCTTCCGGCTGCGCTCCCGTAATCCCCCGCGCAGCAGAGCAACTCATAGTGAGGTCTTGGGACCGACCAGCTCGTCATTCGTGAACCTTGCTGTCGAGTATTTCAGTGTCGACCCCGCGTTATCCGCCGAGTTCGATGAACGAGGCGAACAGCGATCTCGCTCGCGAGAGAAGACAGACTTAATGGGCCGGAGGCCCGGTTCCCGGTCGATCGGATCGATGAATCGGCGGATCGGACGTGTCTGACTGTGGCTCTTGACGGTACGTCTTGTCTTTGTTAGTTTCTGGCTTTTTAGTCGAGTTTTTGGTGAGGAGAAGACGTGGGATTGTGATCGTTTGCAGTCTTTAGGGTTTAGAATTATCCTTGTTAGTTTCTGGTTTGATTGAAGTTCTGGAGAAAAAGATGTGGGATTGTGACGATTTGTAGTCTTTAGGATTCAGAATTATCCTTGTTACTTTCTGGTTTGAGTCAAGTTCTGGAGGAGGAGATAAAGGATTATGTTGGTTTTTGCGGTCTTTAGAATTTAGTACCTTTTTTCGGTTGACTGTGAATAATTGTAAGTTTCGAATGACTATGTGAGATTGTAACATTAGTGAGTATAAGTGTGGGTTGAACATAGAACATTGTAACTTCGGGTTCACTGTAAGTGAATGAATGTATTGTGACTAGATAGTAGTATGTAATGACAGTTGATATTACGTTGTTGTAAGTGTAGGAACGATTGGATTTTTTAGGTAAATTGTCTCCTGTCGTACTGTATTTTGGTAATGTAAATTTTACTGTCTGTTATTCAAATTTATTTAATGCAGTACCGTTTGTTAGCAGTAGACTGCAGATCTTTATACCTTAATTTCCTAAACTAATGAGATGTTCCAGGTAAATGAATTTATCAGGCAACCCTGTATATTGCAAGCAATGTTAACAACTTACTGTCAAATGATGGTACGAATGTAACTCTAATTCTCCTCCACGTTTCTATTCATCATTTGACATCTCCATTCCCGACGCTAACAGTAAACAATAAAACAGTTCTGCGAGTCTGTCGTACACACTGTCTCCTTCGAAAATTAACCGATGCCATTTCTGCATCCCTTATTTGTCCTTCGGTGTTCCCATCAAGATCCGCCACGAACGCAGGGGGATTAATAAACGTACGGTGACGGCCGTTGATAAGCGCGCAACGATCCCATCGATCCGTGGCCCGAGCGGGAAGCGGCACCGCGATGTCTTTCCCTTTACGAGAACGCGCGTCGAGCGCGGGCTCGAAATACGTATGTATGTATATCCCGTTTCTCCGAACCGAAAAGACCCCGAGAATTTCAACCGTTATCATGAAACGATAATAAATGTGTATGCGTGTGTGTGTCCTACGCCGCGACGCGTCTCGTGTTTCTGTCACTCTCGTCATCAGACTCGTTGATAACAAAGAGACGGCCTTTGGATGATGGTAATTCCGGCTCGTGTTTCTCACCTACAATAAACCAGGCCGTCCCTCTGCCCGAAATGATCGCCCTTGTTCAACGGGGTGCCGCATGAAGCGCAAGTGAAACAGGCCACGTGGTACACCAGATCCCTCGCTCGCATCACCAGCTCCGAGGCGGAGATACCGGCTCGGCAACGTGAACATCTCGAGACGGCGAACAACCTGAGAAAACGGAACAGTTGATGAAACGGTAGAACAGTGTATTGGACAGATTCAAATTTGATTGGATCACAGGAAAGGAATGGGTCTTGTTCCGAGGACATAGTGGACTGTATTCGATGCCTTGTAGATCACTATAGTTTTTGGTAATAAATACGGTAGGAAAAGGAACGTATACCCAATTTGCTAACAGTAGATACCTTTGATTGCCTAGTGGAATGTCAATCATAAACTCACCAACCGACATCAATAAGGGTTTTACAATTGCTCGATAAAAGATCAAGATAGCTAAAGAAGACTAACATATAATCTGGACTTGAAATCAGAGAACGATTCTAGGTAATTGCTAATGTCCACAAAGTCTTCATCACCCGTTTCCCATTCAATACACCACAAGAACCAATAACCTACACCTTGCCCACAACAATGAAAACTTCAAAGCTCCCTTAGACATTCTCTAAGGAGCGCCTGCTACGACGCAACAATGGTGTCCCCAGAAACCACGTCGTCCCGGTATCTAACCACCAATCAAACGGTTTCAATTCCCCAGTAGCACCCTGCTACGGCCCAGGGTCTCTTGGTCCCAGTCGTCGTTCCGGGTTCCTTCAAGATAACTCCCTCGATCACGCGTTCTTCGTAGAATCCCCTAATTACAAAATCAACGATCCCGATCGTCGCTCGAATTCGTCGATCCTCCGCCACCGCCTCTCTTCTCCCCTCCGCCCCCACGTTCGCGCACGTGACCTCCCGTTGTTCGTGACTATCCGCTCGGACCAAAATCGGAGAACAATGCCGTCCTCCTCCACCCCCTGCTCCCCTTGCTTCGAGTTTTTCTTCCACTAATACACCATAACCCTGACGGTGGTACAGGGTGGAGGGGCACACGAGGACGGTTCCTTCCTCGCGGGCTCTCTCATATCGGCCGTCGACGATCAAGCCCACAGCGTTACAGTTTCCGAAGCGCGAAAACCAAATAGAGACAAAGGGGTTGGCCTGGATACGGATCGTTGCATATTGCATGGGAGCAAGCCGGTTGTATTCTTCTCTAACGAACCGAGCAGCCGTTCCAGCCTCGAGGTGTACCGGTCCTACACCCTCGCTCTCGAAATCCTATGTCTCTAGCGATCGTGAGCTGAGGGAGAGACACCATGATCCGTGAGTGCTCGATAAGTATAAGACAAAGAGATTGTTTATCCAGTCTTTTGGGTAGATTGAAGTTTTAGTGGGGACTTGACGTGCTGGGTAATTGTTTGGACACTAATGATCATTATACTGCGGATTTTGTGTATTTATGGACTTTGTGAAATACAGGAGCAATGAGTTTCGTATTTTATTGTTCACCCAATAAGATATATAAGAGAAGAAATATATTCCTACATTTTCTGTTCATTTTATGGATTACTGTATAAAATGTAATTTTGCATGAAAATTTGGAGTCTATTAATAATTAACACGTTGATTACCATTGTGATCACTGGGGACCGGGGCATTAAATTACACGAAGGAATATTTCATTTTCAAACAGGAGTATTTTCATCTCGTAAATATAATTAGTAGTAAAGTAATAATGAAAGTAATGAGTTTTCGAGTTGACGAGTAAATACTTGTATCATTAATAGCACAGGCAGAAACAAATATATATTATTAATATATTGTCACAATAGAAAGTTGTTGGGTACTTACACCTGTAAACAGTTATCCGTTTTATGTTTCTCCCTATTGTTCTTGTCAGATTGAATTTTTTAGAATAATAAACCTAGTGAAGTACGATAATAATACTCAAGAAGTAACGCAATCAGAATGCACAGTTTCAATAAGTGAACCATCGTGACATTTAATTCGGAAGATAAAATGGTACTCGTCAATATTCATTGAACTTCTTTCTAACAACTCGGAAAATAATTTCAGGGGTAGTTGAAACTATTAAATTAGACTTACTTTTAATACTTCAGAACAATAGCCTTACTCTAAACGAAATGTCTTTTCAAAATGGTGAACCAAATTTCAAAAGAGTAAAAAAAATTTCTCTTCAAATTTTAACGAACACCAGGAAGCATACATTCGCAGAATACGCCGTTCGTTATTCCGCGTGTGTTTAGCTCGACAAAGAAACCTTTCAATCTCCCCGTTTGTTACGACGTGCCTACTGAACCATGTCGAGGAATGCCCTATGACGGACTTAGCTCCCACTCCCTTCTTTGCCCTTTAATTATTTCGTTCCACCGAGGCTCAGAATTGTACTCGCTGATTAGGCGGCGATTACAACGTAGCAGCATGGTCGAAACACGATCTTCTTTTCGTTTTCAATGCCGAAATAACAACGGGGGTGGAGGGTTGGCGTACAAAATGGCGGAAGAGAAGCGAAGAAGGACAGAAAATTCGAAACAAATTGTTTTCAGCGTTCGTCTGTACACTTGTTAAACGATCTCACGTTCGGTATGCAAACAATTCTTAATCTCATCTCCAAGAAAACTGTTTCTTTTTTTCTCCAGTTTGTCAATTAATTCACGCGCGGTGTCGTCGCAGCTTCAGCGCCAGGCGGCTTCGGTAGCGTTTTATTCACCGGGCGCGGTAATATTTCTCGGAGTGAATAATTCATACAGGGATTGAATATTTAACGTTACCGTCGAAGCTCGTCAATTTAACCATTTCAATCCGATTAACGCGATGGAACAGAGGGAAAAAGAACCGTGGAGGGGTGGTACGGGTACGTAGGCGAAATAAAAAGAGAGAAGAAACGGGTTCTCACGCTTTTGAGGATTACGAGAATTATGCAACGCGCGTGGCTTCTCTGTTAACTACGCTCTGAATCCCAACGAGAAAACACGAGCGTTTCCTAAAGCAGAAACAAAAAATACACACACAACAACGGATTCGCCGCATTTAATTACCGCCAGCCCCCACAATGGTCTCACGTTCAACTTAATTAATTGCATTCATCGGCACTTTGCATTTTAATGTCTCAATCCACAACGAATCGACTCTGTCTGCGCGCCACGGCCTCTACCGACCTATAGGAAAGGATAAAACAACGTGCAGAAAGTGACGAGAAAACAGGTGATTTCGATTTGTTGAATCACAAAAGATTCGGTCTGGAGCGAAACTTTTAAAGCTCACCTCGTAAATGGTACCTTGGATCTTACCTATATGTATATGAAGCCTTACCACCAAAAACACGGCTACAGTGGACCTTATCGGAACTCCATCGGGTCATTCCACGCGAAATCAGACACTTTTTGGGGATACAGTTCTATTTGTTCTCTTTATGGACGAATTTAAAAAAATTAGTACACTTAACAATTGGCCATATGAAAATTAATTGAAGTTAACGCTGTCTTGAAGCATATGCAGGGTGTCCCAAAATAGTTGTAAGTCCTTAAAAGGGGTGATTTGAAACAACTTTTTCCTTAACGAAAATAATTAATCACCCCTTTCAAGGACTTACGCCTATTTTAGGACAACCTGTATTTATACATCTATCACTGAAGAATACAACGTATCCAAGTTTCAACAGAATCCGAAATGTTACTTTAAAAAGTGTCCGATTTCGCGTGGAATGACCCCATCCAGAAACATCGAAAGACTACATACACTTCGAAGATGAGAATTAATAGCACAATTATGTGTAGATTGCTATCGACAGTTCTGCAGAAATGTCCCTCAGCATAGCGATCTCTACTATTCGATCGATCCGTTCCCTAACGAAAAACACGGTTTCGGGTACAGGGGCGAAAAACGAAGTGTCAACCCGGTGGCGTATTACTGGAAATCGTGACCGCGTCTGTTTTTATCGGGTCGAGTATATCACCAGCCCCGGTGGAATTTCAGATCCCGGTTCGGGTGTGCCTAGCCACGAACGGCTTAGAGTTTGGCCATTAGTAGACATTTTGTGTGGTCCAGGAGCGAGAGTTTTGAGCGGGGCGGACGCTCCTATGCAAATTCGCGGATACCCCAATAAATACTGAAACGGGAAGCCCGTGTATGGTGGAGTGGGGGCCTCGAGGCACACGGGAACCGGTGGATCTTGCATTAATTCCTGGTCGTCATTCCGGTAATTCGACGTATAATGGCGATGCCGAGCGATTCGGCTTGCTTTTGTTTCCGCGAGCGGATGGTAGGACGCGGCTACGAAGAATGAAGAAATATTGGGAAACGGAGAAAAAGCTCCAGATTTGTATCTTTGTATGAATCTCGAAATGAATTAGCTGGGATCGAAAGAAGTTTAAACGGAGAAAAATATACGGGGTGGGTTTTAGACAGCTTGTGTTAGATAACATCTTTGGCGTTTATCGAGAGGAGTTTAGTGAAATCTTGAAGAATTTATACTTTGGAAGGTTCATCTTTAGGAGATGTAAGGATTCAGAAGAAATATTTCAAATAAGCCATTAATAATACATGTTGGGGATTTCTCTGTGGAGAATGAGACTTCTTCTGAACAAATCTTATACGTACATAAATTCTTCATCCTACTTGTATACAAATACTCCGAATAATTATTCGACAGCAAATTAAAAAAATTCGGCCTTAGTATTGTTTCAAAGTTTATTAAATTAGTAATCAATTCAGGGGTGAAAATTTTCGGTTTAATGTTCCAACTTCCTCCAAAGCAAAATAGTAGTAGGTACAAAACAGTACAAATAATATCAAAACGCATAAAGAAATCTCCTTAACATACGACACCCAAGAAAACTCTGCTTCCCATTTGAACCATTAATTTAGTAGTTAACTAATAACTCCGTTTTGCTACGGTTTTTTTCCATCGAATCATGCGAAGCATGCCAGACCAGATACCCTACACTGTCATCAAACCTCCGATTTCCCTGCATAATCAAAGCCCCGAAGGGCACGCGTAATCGGTTAATAGTTACAAGGAAACCGTCATCCGTCCAGCAGAATCGAAATTCCCTATGATTCCTCCCGGCGCTTCAGATTACGTCGCAACCGGGAGGACACCCTCTTGGTTACAGCCCCCGAGCAACGACGTTCCCTTGTTAATCCTCTTACGACTACTCGGCACTAACCTATAATAATCCTCTTTGCAGTAGATGTTGCCGTCCCTGGCGAAGCATGTCAGCTCCGCTGCCAAGGGGACACGGCAATGGCAGCAGCGCAAACAGCCGCAATGCCAGGCACGATCGGCAGCCCTTAGGTACCATCGCTCCGATATCTCCCTACCGCAACCCCCGCAGCCGAGGCTCACCTCAGTGTTGTTGTTCTCGCTGGTGGTGACCTGCCGATTACCGATCGCACCATCCCCCGGCGGGGGTGTGCTGCTCCCGCAGCCAACCTCCTTCAGCATCTCGAGCAGAAGGACCGCTGCCACCAACGCATTCTGGGGGAAGAAAATGGTACCGGTAAGGAATTAATTTCGATCTTAATGATGTCTCCTTGATTTAAAAGTTAACGGTATCTTTAATTTCGATCTTAAGAGTACCTATCCTTTATTTCGATCGTAACAGGTACCTTAATATTGTCATATCATTGTTGCAGTTCTAATTGATTTTTCTCCACTAGTTTCTAAACTGAGAAAACTGAGTTTACAGTTTACGAAGTTTAATATTATAGATGCAGGCAAGTAGTGAGACAATTAAGCACACTATAATATCATCTACTAAATAGCTATTTACTACAATACTTAACCAAATTTTAGCCTATTATCAATACAAATTTTTAATTGTGGTTAGTATTTGCAGATACAACCATTAAAAACTTTCAAAGTTTTGGAGTTAGAACTTACACAAATATATGTTGTTTTCTCGGTTGAATTTTCTTTATATTATGGTGAAATTATGCAATTAATATTAAACTTCGATTTCAATTTAGGGGTAGTCGATTATGGCAATCTGTATACATATACTCCACTGCCTCCAGCGTCTTCTAAGAATTGGTATTAGTAATGAACTAATTTCGACCTTATTTTACTGACTGATTTTACGACATCACTCTATCTCTTCCGCCAGGTATGCAATCTAATTCCTGGTTATCGTTAAAAGTATCGTATGGTATAATTGCTACATACATTCATTTCTGTATAATATTAATAGTGTTATCGTATTCTTCGTCGTTACTGAATCTTTTAGCTCTTGCCACACACTTGTACCTGACTCTTGAAGTATCATCTTCTGGCACAGAATATATGCTGTGTCTCAGAAATGAGAATGAAAGGAACAACAAGTCAGAGGACGCAAATATTGTTCATCCTTAAATTACTAATAATTATAAAACTCTTTCTGTTTCTACTATGCCTTATAACACCTACAATTGATTTTTCTTTCATATGGAACACAATCAGCATGAACTACATTATATTGCTGCATTCTTTATCAAAATAGCCCAAACTACTGTCCTCATTCTCACCTGTCCACTAGGAACTAAAATTCTATATTAACACTGAAGTTGTTCATAACCCCCTCAATTCTCCGACATTTTTCCTATATTTCTTATATTCATTCAGGATCCTCAATCTAATTTCCTCACTTTCACCCATTCTCTAGGAATTAAAATTCCATATTGCCACTAAAATTCTCCACAACCCTCTCACTTCTCCAATCTTCTTTCTATATCTCTTGTCTTCATTCAGGATTCCTGAATCTACTGTCACACATTCACCCATTCTCTGGGAATTAAAAATTTCATATTGCCACTAAAATAATCCCCAACCTTCTCGATCCTCCGATCACAGTCATCCAGAGGAGTATCTTCTCCTATATAATTCTACATTCTATTGCCACCCTGACGAAAAACCACATTTTTTTCAGGCACACCCTGTATCTAGCGGTACACTCAACCCCTGCGAGCACTCATTCCCCCCCCCCCTTCACGCATTTCACGGTGAAAATTCTGCCTGTCTGGTTAGCCCAGGCGGGTGACTTTTTCTCGTCGTCATCGCGATGACGAGGTCCCAAGGCTGAAGGACTACGCTCGGCCTCCTCCAGGAGTGTCGTCGTCGCCAAGCCGGCCCCGCATTCATTCAGGACACTTCTCGGCGGCAGCAGCAGCGCACGCAAGAACCGATGAATGAAAACAATTCGTGACTGCTGTCCCGTTAATGAATGACTCCCGGGGTAGTGGCTGTCTCTCTCTCTCTCTCTCTCTCTCTCTCTCTCTCTCTCTCTCTGTCTCTCGCTCTACCTCTCTCTCGGTTGGTTTCGAATCGGCCGCGAGCTAATTAGTAGAACCTTGCGGATCGCCACAATAACTCAACGTCCTTTACGAGCTCGGGCCGCACGTGATTTCCGTAAGTTAAATGGAAGGTGACGTCGCCTGGAATCACCCGTACACCTCGTTTTACCAAGGTGACGCCGTTTTGCTGCCGCTCTTGTCACCGACGTATTAGGCGGTACGTGTGCGAGCTGATTTACAACTGTATCCCCCCATCACCATAGTGGTCTTTCGCTTTCTTTGCTTGTTCCTACGGATTCGATGACGATCACCGTTTTCGTTGTTTCGTTTGCTGGTCAACGTTTCGCGCGAGAGATTATACGGTGTCGTGGTGAACGCAGCTGAAGAGTTTGTCACTTGTCTGCGAAGGGCAATCCTATTCTACTGCGATCCTTGTTTGTTTACGAATGGTGTAGTGTGTAATCCCATTTTAGATGATGATTTTTTTGTATTTTCATTAGTGGGACGAGATAATTTAATGCGTGTATGTAATGTGTATCTGATTTAGTGGCTTTTGTGGTGAATAATACTTGTGGGCGTTATTGTAACTGTGAAGAGGAATTCTTGTAAGAGTGTTTACGATATTTTTGTCGGGGTGGATTGAGAGTGATTAGGATGTTGTTAGTCGAGTGTGGGTGACGAATTTTTGTTATATCTCTCGAGGATGAAAGGAGAGTTTTGTAAATGTTTGATCAATTTCTGGTGTTATTTAACCTCTTTAGTGGTCTTAAGTTGTTTATACGGAATCCTTTCCTGGTGGCGCGTTTTTTTTCATTGCTCGCGTATATATACATCATAGGCATGGTGTTAGGAAATACATGTTTTTTTAATTGATACGTATATATCCGTCATAGGAACTGTGGTGTAAGAATGCAGGTGACGAATATATCCGCTGTAGCCATTTAAGAGGTCAAGGAATCTTGTTCAATTCGTACAGAATCTCTAACTGTCGTCTTCACGTTTTCTAATAAACCCTTGTATATTTTCTGTATAATATTCAGCTTCTAAAACGGGTAATTACCTACTGAAGAAGTGGCACAGGCGGTTACTAATTTAAATGAATTCATTGTTCCCTAGAGATTTACTACATTTCACTCTTAATGTATTAATCTATGTAATATATGTAACAGATTGATATATTACAAATGAATATTAAAAAAACAATTGTCCTCTATAATACTACAAAACAGTCAAAAGGAATTTTCATATTCTAAATAAGAAGAAACACATAGATGAGAGTTTGAAAATTATTTTCAACCGACACTTCTACCAATTTGTGAACATTCCATCCAACTTTATGCATAACTTCTAACACTAAAATTACAATACAAACACCAAGAAACGTGTCATAAAATTAATTCCCTATAGAACCGTCGGATTCTAGGTGGCTGAAGACTTACTCCAAACATGTATCCCCCAAAAATCACACTATAATATCCCATCACCTTAAATATCAACTAAGACAATACGAATGAATTTCACAAAACTGTCCCCTATAGTCTCTCTGCGTTCATTTCCCGTGAATACGCCATCGAGTGCCCATCACTCACTGTTCAATATCGTCAAAAACACGGCAAGTCGAGGGTCCCCGGTTCTCGCACAAATTAAACAATTTGCCCCCGTCGGTCCGTTGGGTAAAGGCGTGTCAGGTAGCCGTGGGTCCTGGACCGCGCTAAAAAACACCAGAAAATCCGCCTTCGACCTGTCTGTCCTCTTCGTCCGTCACACCGGGATCTCCCCATCGTCGCCTACGGATTCGCCCCGTCAGCCTTCGTTCCCGCGAAATTTTAACGATCCTCCAAGCTTCCAGTCCTCTCCACTAGTTCTTACCTACCTGGCCTGTTCGGTTTAACCAGCTGGAAACGCGACGTCGGATCCCAGAACGACGCAGCGCCCGACGCAAGTCGACGTCCCTTCCGTTGCCTCTCTTTTCAGCCGTCGCTCGCCTATTCCCGTCACCCGCGAACAGTTCCCGCGACCACGAATTTATACCTCGAACCCGACTATTTCCATCCGTGATCCCTGGAGCGACCTTGAACCAGCGACACCAACGTTCTTCCAAAACAATTTCCGGAGAAAACGGCGAAGCAACGCGGTAGGTCGGTAGCCGTCGGATCCGGAAAAGAACGTGCCGTAGACCTGGGAAATTGGATTCTCTGAGTGGACCACGGTGTATATATCCTCTAATTCGAAGACATCAACGAGCATCGATCATCACTTTCGTGACTTCTGATTCACAACAATACCCTAATCGATCACACCACCTTTCGATTCTTCGGAGTCATCGGTTACTCCGAGAAGAATCGGGCTATAATACCCCAATTTGCGGTTAACCGACAAGTCAGTTCCGAGATGGTGGCTGCTACCCCAATTGGTGTTCAACGAAAACCAGAATCACCGACTAAACACTTCACCGCAAAGTGTCCGATCCTTCTGACAACCATTGTCCTCCATCGATCGACCAATTTCCCGTTTCCACGACCGTGTCTACCTTGTTCTCCAGCCTGTTCGAAGGGACCTCTGCCTGGTCTTCTTCTCCAGCTATCACCTGGACAGGATCATCCTCTGCATGGATGTCAACGCACACGTTCTCGCGTCACAGAGCGCGCCAGCCGGCGGATCGGTTGAAACTCTCACTGGGATCCGTCGCGAACCGGTGTGCACTCGCGCCGACGGAGAGAGAGACCAGAAGACCCGGCACTTTCGCGAAACGTTCGATTTTCGCGGTGGACGAAGGGTGAAAATCTTGCGCGCTGAAACAACCCCGCGCCTGTGTCTCGAAGCGTGTCGGCCTGACGCAAGTTTGCCCGCGAGGGAAGCTTGCTCTCCCCGTCGGCGTGATAGTACGATCCTGGGCTGGCCGGCCAGGGCCAGGGGCGGACGTCGCCACGGGTTGATAGAGGGGTTGGCCCCCCGCGTGTGCACACGACGCCGCGCCGGGGTGGGGTTTTTGGAGGATGGAATCGAGGGGTAGAGACGTCGGGACGCCGCGCGCGTTTGCGCGGTACGCACGCCGAGACTACTTGTACTCCGTCTTCGTTCAATCGACGCGTCGAGCAAACGCATCGGGATTGCGACGACGACGCCTACGATTCTTCCCGGCTTCTCCTGGACGCGGAGACGCTTTCGGCGGATTCT